CCCACACCCACACCCACCCTGTACCAAAGAAAACATTATTTTCATACGATCGAAATTTGGTCGATCAAAATTTTATGCATTTTGAAAACAAACAAGTGCAACTATAAAATCAGCAGTTTTATGTAAATTGTAGAGCTTTTCACGCTGCATCTTCTGGTATATTAGGTTTTTTGAATAAAGTACACTAAGTTAATAAAAATTGAAATACAAAATGCAGCCATTCAATCCGGTTTATCCGTTATTTTTCTGAAAATAGGAAAAAGTCTATTTTTTATGTTTCGCTGAAAGATGATATCTTAGAACAATACTAGTAAAATTTGTTCATATAGAAAAAAACTTGGTGCATTCACCTATCATTTAAAAAAAATAAATTGATGAAGTTAAATTAAATAGTAAAGATAAATGAAAAATTTAAGTGATAATGCCTTTTGGGACACCCTGTATGATTCGATCTTCTTATCAGTGTGAATGATAAACAATATCGGCATTATGGATTAATTGAGACATAAGCTAATGTAAGAGTTGTTAATATATATAACCTACATTATTCAAATAGTTCTATTCATTAAATAGTTGATGGTGGAGAAAAATAAATTTAAATTAAACACAAAAAAATGATTATTATCGTGTATATAGCAATAATTATAAATGAAATCGAGCGCGCTTAAATGAAAAAACAATATTTTCCTTTTTTAATATATTTTTGTTAATATACAAATAAATAATAAATTCCCGCTCTTTTCATCGATTCTCAATGAAAACGAATATAGTTGACAAGAAAATTTTTCAGTTTGCAGATGATATATAGGAATAAAAGGGTTGAAGGATGTATGTGATTTACACATTTCAGCTCCAAAGGAGCTGCGCTAACAAGCTTTTTCAATTGTATAGAAAATATCAATAAAAATGTACCATATTTAGTAGATTGTATTTGTGAGAATTTCTTTAAGGAAGAATATTTCAATAAAAATCCTGATTTATTTTCATTAATTGTATTATTACGTTTTGGAATTTTATCAAAAGATCTAGATAAATTTAATATCGACGAACATTTATTACCTGAACTAATGAAAAAAATTGATAAAAAGAATATTTATTTGAAAGAATTCAATCGATGTGTAATCCTTATTATAAATCAAGAGCATTGTATCAATTAGCGATATTCTATGATAAAAAAAGTTATGAATTATTAAATCAATCTTTTATACTGACAAAAAATAATCAAGAATCATCTCTAAAATTTCAAGTTTTAGAAAATATTTTTAATATTATTCATTATAAAGATATTGAACAAAAATTATTCATTCAACAAATAGTTAACGAATTAATTTTAACATATGATAATATTGATGATGTTTATAATCGAATTATTGCATCAATAAGATTATCGTTTTATGGATCAGGAGAATTTCGAAAGAAATATTTAACTAATACTTTAGAAACACTTTATCAAATGAATGAAAATGATGATAAAATCAAATTAATTATTAAATTAAAACCATTAATTACTATCTACGATGATCTTCTTATCAATTTTAATCAAATAATAGAAAATCTTAAAAATAAAATGCATTTTTATATAGTTAATGCTTATTATGGAAAAATTTTATTTACTGAAACACGATCTTTATTTAATTCAAATATAATTGTAGATTTGTCTGAAGATTTGAAAAATAGAAATAATACGGATAATATTACAGATATTTCAAATTATAATGAATTACAAGGTTTATTTTTATTATTTGCTCAATTGAACGATATAAAATTAGTTATGAATAAAATAGAAAGTACAGATCAATTATGGATTAATCTTTTTAAAGATATTAATAATTCATCAACTATAGAAAATATCTTAAATATTGGTTTACATGATGAAATATTTCTAATACCCCAAATTGCTATTATTATTGATGAATTAATAGAAAAAGGAAAAGAAGATAGTATATCAATTATTTTTCCTTATATAATAAAACCATTTAATGAAGTATTACCTATTGTTCAGAAATGGTTTACTCAATATAACAATCATCAAATTAAAAATCTCGCAGCTCTCTTACTTACAGAAGCTAAGTATATTTTTGAACCTACTATTGATACAATTATAAATTTACTCACAAATGATAATGATCAAATGAGATATAGAGCTCAAATAATTTTTCAACATCCTGCAAGAGATGTTGAAGTGCCTAGTAAACGAATATCTCTATTAGGAGAAAAAACAATGATAAAGATTCTTGAACATGCTTTTATAAAAGATTATCTTTCAAGAATTCGAGTTTTTCTTTTACATTTTTCTTTTGATTTACTATGGGATGATTCTATCGTTTTTTACAAATTATTTCAATATATGAATCAATTAGCAGAGAGAAATTCTACTAATACGAGAACAATACATTTTTTAAATAGACTTTATTTCATTAATAATTTTACTTGGAAATCAATAATTGAAATAATAATACAAACATTAAATCCATTGTATATTGAAAAGTTACTTCATTCAGTAATGCATTTAGCAAAACATTCTCAGATTTCAGCAGATAATTGGATTGAATTTGCGAAATTATTAGCAATAACAGATAAATCTCAATTTAAAGAAAAATTATATTTTTTAAATACAGATATTGAAAGAATTGAATTTATTCTTAATGAAGTTTCTACTTCAACAAATATGATTGAAAAAACTTATTTTGAAAATCTTGAATCAATATTAGTACAACGAACAACCATCAAAGTTGAAAATCTTTCACGGCAAACCTACGATGAAATCATATATGTATATCTCGTTGTAACTTTACTATTTCAAATAATGCTAATCAAACAGTAATAAATTTATTAAACAATATTTCTATAAATATTATTTTTATGGAAAATTTAATTCAATGATTAATAAAAATAATAATTAATTTTAATGGTATTAATGATACTATGTTTGAATTAATATTAAGTGAAACTTTATTATCTTTAATATCTGCATGTGTTCAAAAGGAAGATTATTTATATCGAAAAATTACAAATTCTTCAAATTTTAAAAAAAGTTCAAATGATTAAACTTTTGGAAAAAATTCTTTATCATCAACCATATTTTCCAGCTCGAGGTAATGCTTTTATATTACTTTCAGCAATAGATAATTTTAATCATAAAATAATTATTAATATAATGAATAAATTTTTTGATGAAAATATTGTAAAAGAATATTCTGTCATTGGAATTAATCTTATTCATTTATCTCCAAATGAATTTATCGATGATTTAATGAAATATTTAAAAAGTCAAAGTGCTATTAAAATCTATGAAACATTAAAAATTTTGCTTTAAATGAAAAAATAGATACACATAGCAAATCAAAATTTATGATTTATTTATCGAATGAAATTGGACAATTTAAATCAAAGAAGCCTGTTAACTATTATTATACAGATATTAAAATTCCTTTTACAACAACATTAGAAAATGAATTGTATAAAGCATGGATTAAAATACAAGGACTCTGGAAAAACACAATATTCAATTAATATTGAAAAATCGAAGCAATAAAATAGTCAAACTCCATATTTTAATCTATGTACAGAACTTATCATAATTGTTTTTTTTACTAATTTTCCTTTCTAATAATATACCATCGAGCACATGTATTAACCTTGAAAAAAGTAAATTGATATTTAATTTTTAATGGTGTTACCTTCATATTTGCATATAATCTAATTTGAATTCTATCTATCTGCAAAATTTGTATAAAAAATGTATTCGTTATAATCAATAGAGTATTTAACACATTAATATTGATTGAATAACTTTGAGAAAAAATTCTGCCCATATTCGCAATTCTTTAGATTCTAATTGTGAACGTCGGTGTGAACTATAAAAGTTGAATATTCATTCATACTCTCAACTAGGATACAAGTTATTTTCGTAGCTTTTATTTGTTAAATATATTCTGTAAATATCATGATATATGTCTATACATTTTAGTATAGTCTTTGTCACTGTATGTCCAACATATTTCGAAAATTTTAAACGATTCCTATGTTTTCCGGTAAAGAAAAATATGCCTTACGTAAACCTTATAGATTCTGAAGATGGGTGTGACCAAAAAAAGAATCATCAAAATTCACACATTTTAAAAAGCACTTTTGTTCTAGAATCTATAAACAGTACTATTTAATACTGTTATGATTCATAAGACTTATCAATCATACAGGACAATGCAACAAGTTGGAACGACCACACGATGAAGAAAAGGATGACTCAAATCAAGTACTTTCTGCTATCCGAGCAGATATCCTAAACCAATTAGACTAGAAGATATATTTTATATTTGTATTATGTACAAAGGAAAATACTTTGGAAATAAAAAACACTAATATATTGAATTTTGTCGCAGTTTTCAAAGGATGAAAGTGAAAATTTTACGAAAATGAATGCCTTTTTTGGTTTGTTTTAATTAGCAGGAATGGATCCTAATCGACGTTCAATTTTGTGCATTTAATTACATTCTCCCAAATATTTGTTTGATTGTTGGGTAGACTATTAATCATAGTCGTAAACATATATCCAGCTATATAATGACACAATTTATCTTAGTCTACTGGAACCAATGTCAATATAAGCGCAATAGAAAAAGTCATTTGGGTTTAGATGTAGGGTGCGGGTGCAAAGTAGATACTGTACGTCTCTTCATTCATATCTACACCCTTTTACATCCGAGATTATTTCTAAAAGCTATTGGTGAATAAAAAGACAATCTATGAGTATCTCAGTAATAGCAATAGCTTGACTTTTATCCAGGGGTGTGAGTGAGTCGTGCAAAGCTATCCACAACTACACTTATGATGATAGGTACTTTCTTGTTAGAGATTGGAATCTATAGTTCGCAAAAACTAATCAGCTGCTGTAATTTTAGCACGATTTTCGGAGTCTTTCTATCGAAAAAAAAACGGAAGAGATGTGAATGTCACACTTTATCATATACGTTCTTAACACACTGTTGCAAAGTTAAATGTTATCGATATCAATAAAATATGTTGATGTTCCCTTCTCTTCCATATATTTTTTTCTGTTTTGATCGTGAACTTAGTCTTCCGTGTTATCAATTAGAAATCGAGTGTAATAGAAAGTCTTTTGAGAATGATACTGCAATCTTCTTTTCTTGTGTTTTTTCTTCTACCAATAGTTAAGAGACAAAAGTGAACGTTCATTTCTATCATTTACATTGATGTCGATATTATATATATGTTAGTTTATATTCTTACACAGCAGATACCCCCATAACGACGGTATGATAATGACTAATTCTTCTTGTAGGTATCACAAAGTTTTAGGATTTTGTAAGTCAGCGCCATAGGCATATAGCCTCAGGCGCAGCAGATGTTTATATTATATACACATCTACATTCCTTTTTTAATTAAAGCAAAATTAGTTTGTATTGCGCGTGGAATCGTATAGTATTCATTGAGACTGACTTTTCATATATTTTTCAATTTGGTTCCAATATGTTAGACCAGGCGACAAGGCATAATTCTATTGAAGTCACAAGATTAACATAAAAATAGCTAAGAATTGATTGAATAAGATCAAAATAAAAAAAGATTTTATCTAGGAGTGTGGGTATGTGGATTTCGTTGTAGTGTGAATCTTATTTTCATCTATAAACACAGCTACACCTTCATATTATAAAATACATGGAAAAGTGTAAGATTTTATGTTTCGTATAAAATTCACATGCAATTTTACACAAAGTCGACCACATGTGAGAGTGAGCAAGAAAAAGTTTCAGATAAGAGAATTTAATACTAAGCGTTCTCTCACATCTAAATATGCTATGCTTGTAATCTCTTGTTCTTCGTCTTTCTCTCACAATTGAATTTCGTTATCATCACCAGAAGAGAAAACTAAGTAATGCATATACAAAGAAATAATATATTGATGATTAACTGCTTTTGAGTTGGCTTGCATCATGGGTTGAATAATTAATCTTTGTGGACCATGAACTTCTGGACAAATTCATCAGCGAACATCATCAAGTACAAATAATGAGAATACTGACGTTCACACCCCATCCCATACGTTTACTAGAGAATCACTGCAACGCTTTTCATGCTATATCCCTATATATGAACTAATGCTTTTATGCACAAGTGATATATAAATACCTTTTCGATTTTCTTTTAATATAGTTTTAGAGAATACCAAGTGTATATTCGTGTTTATATGTACGACTTCTAATTCAAGTATTTTAGAAGAAAATAAAAGATTTAGAAAAAGACTTGACTAGACCTTCTGATACTCGAGAATGTGAAAAATTCCAATGTAGTTTTGTTTTTTGTGAGTGATAAAATTTAACCGTTATATACGAGAATGTAGGAGTGTCTCTCGATGTAAGATTCCTTAGAAATTCCAGTGAATCGCACACTAATTAACGACATACCGGAGCTCTCTGTATGAAATAGTGAAAAAGATCAAACATACTAGCGCATGGCTTGATGTGTGAAGTGGTATGTCGTGCCAATCTGAGTAACGAGAAGTTGCATAGTAATACCCCATATGGGCATGCACCGAACCCAAACGTTCGGATTCAGTGAGTTTGGCTCGGGTTCGGTGTCACAGTTGAGATTTGCTCTTGACTGAAACTGTTTTCAGTTTTTCAATAAAAGGAAATAGAAGTAAGTCAAAAGAAAGGGTTCCGCAGTGTTGACTGTGGTAGATCTTCGTACAATGAAGTAAATAGTTAAAAAACACTGAAAGGCTGAAGACATCCTAAAAAGAAATTCATGATGTTTATATACACCCGAACTCGAACTTTTGGAGTGCTATCTTTATTGTTCAAATACCTCAAGAAACGCTTGGTCAATCATCTAAATGGTCATCACTGTCTGAACTGGTCGGACAGTTCCCGAGTCCGAACCCGAATCTAAACCGTTCGGATCGAACTCTGAGCTGCAGTTTGGGTTCATTGCATGCCTAACCCCATATCTGCATAAAAACCTATATTCATATCTTTAATTTCACCTCGTCAGCATTGCATAAGCAAACACTTCTTCCGTCCTACCAACTGCTGATAATGACAACCTTATCATACTATATAAACAATCGAAGAAACAAATATTGAAGAGCACTATCAAATTACCTAAGGTTGTCCAAAGTTTCTGACCCCGATATTTAAAATTTTATGAAAGGGTAACTATCAAAAGTTATATTATCTGACTACCTATTACAGTGTCTTGTCTACAATGATATGTATCATAACTCTATCTTGAATTGAGTGCTTATATTCTTTTAGAAGAGTTTCATCATATACAAGACTGACTTGAATCGAGAGATACTGAAATTTTGTTTTTATCTCTAACCAATCCAAGTAGTTTCTATCAGGTAATCTTGAAAATCTTTTTTCGCGTTTAAAATTGAAACTTAACCCAACTGAAGTACTCCACGAGACCTGTTCATGGTAAAATTTTCATGCTTTTTTACCGTTTCTATCCTCAAATATGAATACTAAAATCAAGCGTGCGACAAATGACGTTTTCTTCTTATATTCATACCTGACAACTTAAGTAATTGAAAGGCATGAGACTATCGTCATGAGTTATTTCTATAGATAACTATAGTTATGGAAAGTTTTAAAGCAAAGCTTAAAAATCGATTTTTCAGATGATCTGAGAGGGATCATAAAGATTATTTTAAGGATACATAAAATCTTCGATATCTCTTAAATACAGATCCATATTTACAAACATTATGGATTTAGTTTATCTTAATCAGTGATATCTTCGTAGATGCCTAACTATCTGTAAGCAGAATAGCGAGTTAAGAAAAATCATTCTACCATCTAAACATGCAATAAAACTTTTAATATAAACTATTCAATAAAATTTTAAATATCATGATCAGAACTTTTGAACAATTCTAGGTATATATATATATATAAACAGACTTTGGTGTGGTTTGAATCAAAACAAAGATAATGACCCGTGATTCAAAATCAAATACTTTATATACTCCTGTTTATCAAAAGTAAGTTAAAATTGAGTTGGTAAACAAATAAATAGCACACATTTTGAAGCAGATACTAATAGAGTAACTGCATAACAATTATTTTTTGGTTATGGTTACTTCCTCTGTTATAATTGTAGTGAATCATCCCAACCAGAGAGGTGCTGTACACGACAATCGTTATACATCATTATCGTTGTACTGCTAATTTTTATAATCTTATCATTTGTTTTATTTGGCATGCAGCTATACAAAATAAGAGATGAACGAACAATAACAACAGGTATGTGTGAATAGATTCTATAGAAGCAATATAATTGAATAATTATCTTTGATTGAATAGTAGTCCCACCCAATGATACTAGTGATCTATGTTTAACTCCATATTGCATTAAAGCAGGTCAGTATAATGTGCTCCAATAGTGAAAATTTCTCTGTTTTTTAAGCGAGCTTTCTGCTTGCAAGCATTGATGAAACAATCAATCCGTGCGAAAACTTTTATGAATTCGCTTGTGGAAAATGGATTAAGAACGCAAGAATACCATCTCGATGTAAGTTCAAAATAATCAAGTGAATATTCTATTCTATTGTTTTCAGATGATGCTCAAAGTTCTCTATCGCATATGTCGATAATGGTAGAGAATGCGCTTATTGGTACGATCCAGTATACTTCTATTTCATTTAATCTTTCTTTTTTCAAAGATCTACTCTCATCTTCATCACCAAACCATACAATAGAATCAAAAGTAATTGCTAATGTGCATCACTGGTATAATTCCTGCATCAATGAAAGTGCTATCGAAATGGACAGTGTCGATGTAATTTTATCATTTATCAATGAAGAGCTTCGTGGATGGCCTATCCTGCAAGGCTCAATGTGGAACGAATCAACATTTGACTTTTATCGTCTAATACTCAAACTAAGTCAGCACCATCATTTTATGCCATTTACCGTAAAGACCATTATCGACGAAAAGAATCCTTCGTCTCGAAGCATTCGAGTAAGCTTCAATACTTAGAATAATTGACAATGAATATTCTTCTTTCAGATTGATCCAAGTAATTTTTTTCTGAAAAACCCTATTCTTTCCATCGGAAGCACAGAAGCAATGACTTCTAATATAGTTGCTCTTGGAACCTTCATTACAAGATTAACTAATGATACATCCAGAATGTTTGGTGATATTTTTGCTTTGACCGAGTTTGGAAATGAAATTCTACAAGTAAATATTTTTCTATTTACATACTTCCTATTTTACTTTTTATAAAAAAGTATTATGTGCAAAGAGGCAATCTTTCGCTTAATAATACTATTCGCACAACGGTCGACAATCTGTCACTATCAGTCAACATTAGTGTGAGCATTAACTTTCTCATATAATCTACTATTTTTTCTCGATATTTCTATTCAGTCTGATTTTACAAATTATCTTCGTGATCTGTATCTTTTCGCAAATGTGTCTCTCATCGGTACAGATATTGTAACGGTCGTGATGCCTCAAATTCTAAGTGATATTTTGTCAATTATTAATCAAAAATCATCTCGCACTGTGCAGAACTTCATGATATGGTCTTTCATGAATAACCAAGCTTGGAAGATGCCAAAAATATTCCGAAGCCTCAAACAACAATCTAGGTCATTATTTCAAGAAAAAATGGGTGAACGGCCACGTTCGATTACTTGTGGCGAATACATCAATGAAGCTATGGGTTTTGTAATATCCAAAATATATATAAATAAATATTTTGATAAGGATGTGCGAAAAGAGGTACTGACAACAAAAAAAACTTAATGAAAAAGTTTCGATTAAGAATTCAAATCTTTTCAAACAAAATCAAGAATTCAATGAATTAAAAGGGATTTCCCCTTTTTGAGGAAGCAAAGGAAGTTTATTAAATAGATTAAAGCCTTGATTTACTTTAGAAAAAAATCGAATTCTTGATCGAAAACTTTTCACTGGAAATCGTTAACATTAAATATCGATCTTTTATGCTTGGATAGGCACTTGAAATGATCAATAACATTCAAAATATATTTATCGACATGGTCAATCAATCGCCATGGATGGATTCCAAATCCAAACTAGCGACGATTAGAAAAGTAGAATAATCAATATACGCATCTTGAAATGAAAATATACCTTTTTTCTTACAAGCAGGTTCGCGCTATGAATAAAAAAGTTGCTTATCCAGTTTATTTTGAGAATGATGATATGATGAAACTTGAGAAAGATTATAAGGAAGTATTAATATATAATGATTATATATATTTGTTATCATTTATACTTCGTTTTTGTTTCTAATTTAGTATAACTTCAATTCATCTTTTATGGCAAATTCTTTGAATTTATCTCGACTTCATTTGAAAAGAAATCTTCGAGCACTTCATGAGCCGGTTGATAAGAAAGAATGGATAGGTATTCTGCCTACAACAGTTAATGCCATCCATGATAGATTATTCAATGACATCAGTATGAAACATTTTCTACGACTGCACTGTTATATATTTTTTTCTCTCTAGCTTTTCCAGCTGCTTTCCTTGGTAGGCCTTTGCTCGAAAAATATGTACCCAAGTAAAAATTCAATTTTTTACAGAAAAACATTTTTTGATATATTTCGTAGGTATCTCAACTATGGTGGTAAGGATGGATTCAAACAAAAAAAAAAATATATATTGAATTTAGGCATCGGTTTTGTCATGGGACATGAGATTATGCATGGCTTTGATGATGATGGTCGAAAATTTGATATAAATGGAAAACAAGTTTCTCTGTGGACCAATAAGACTATCAAAGCGTTTCATAAACACAAGAAATGTATACTCGAACAATATAATAATTACACATTGACACAAGTCAATGGACAGGTCTTTCTTTCTCTGAATTCCAGTTTGTATAAACAAATGAATTTTTTACTGTTTAGTTGGACGGTACACGAACACTGAATGAAAATATTTCTGATAATGTTGCATTGAAGCAAGCTTTTTTTGTAAGCCTTATTATTCATTGATTTGAATTTTAAGTCCATAGATTTTTAAGGCATATCAACAATGGGCTAGAACTCACAAAAATACTGACAAGAAACTTCCTGGTTTAGTCAAATATTCAGCAGAACAAATGTTTTTTCTTAATTTTGGTCATGCATGGTGTGAAAAAATGTCAGACGAATCTGCAAATTATTATCTTATGGTAGCAAAGCACTCGCCTTCGCGATTCAGGCAGAGTTTTTTTTTCAAATAGATCTTTCGGTATTCTCATGAACAATTTTTCTCTTTAGAATTATTGGTCCTACATCGAATTTTGTCGAATTCGATCGAGTGTTTAACTGTAAGCCGGGTCAAAGCAATAGTCGAGTAAATAAGTGCCGTGTGTTGTAGTATATATGTACTACTACTGTCTGAATCGATCACGGCAATAAAAATATTCATAGAAATATGCTCTTGCATCAAAATTTTTGTGTGATAACAAAGAACGTATTTACTTTTTTTTAATTTTTTTTTATTCATTAATAATCGAGATTCAAATTTTCTTTGTGAAAATAGTTATTGATTGTTTTCTAAGCTTTTATTCAACATAATGTACGATAAGTGACGCTTTATGATAATATCTATTCAAGTGATTAAAGAATGACTAAATCCATAGAGTTCTAATTACTTTTTGGCATGTCTATGCACAGAAATTATATTTAGCATAGTTTTTTTCTTACGCCAAAATAATACATTAAATATTTTTAATGACAGGATATCAACCGAATATCTTCATGGTGGATATCGGAATTCTATCGTTTTCAGTCAAATTTTGCTGTATTCAATATACTCCATAGAGAAGTTTCTATCTTTGAATAATTTCAAACTTGAATAATGGAAACAAATGTAAAATGATGCTTCATATACTTCATTGCTCATTCCACCACTATAAAACGATAGTATGTGACTGATTCATTCATGTTCCCTACTAATTACAACTAATTATCACTTAGCTACCTTTCTGCGCAAAAATTTGAAGATGCAAACGTTCAAAAAATTTCATATAATTGGTAACTCCTAATATTTTCAAGAAATAAATAAACTGGGAAACGATACATCACCATAAGCTCTTGATTTTCTAAAATCCGAACTTCACGATGACACTGAATTTTCGAATTAAAAAGCATTACATGGTATTGCAAAGACAGTTACTCCATTTTAAACATAATCGTAGGGGCGTTGACTAAGTCAAAAACGGGTATTATAAATATACAAATTAGCAGAATGAATAAGGATGTAAGTGTAGGTGTAATTCTAGGGAGCGTAGAATGGGTGATGGGTGTGTGCGGGATGTGGGTGTGGAAGTCAGTTGGCTTGCTCTTCATAAACACGCAGCCCTAATATTTGGTGATGCTCTTAATGAAGGTTATATTACTTCAAATGATGAACCATGTGTAAGCATTCTTCAATCATCGAATAGTATTAATTCTTTACAATGGCTTCCTTATTCCAAAGTTATAGAAAAA